GCTCTAATATTTAAGGCTAGTAATAATTTTATTAGAAGTATTTCTCTTTTTTCTTATATTATATACCTTTACTACTTTACTTTATTCTAAATAATATAGTCTATTATAGGGCTCTATTTTAAAGAGCTAACTTTTATTTTCTTTAGTCTTATATAAATTAGCTCCTTAATCTATAAGCTTTATATAAGTATAATCTAAATATCTTAGAGCTAAGGTAATACTAGATAAGCTATTTAGTCTATTATATAGTCTATTTTATAGCTGCTATTTATAGTTCTTATATATTATATTCTTTATTATTTTATAATTATATTATATCTCTATTATATAAGAAATATAAGTTCTAGAAAAGAGCTTAATTCTATTCTATATAACCTGAATAGACGGGCCTCTTATATATTCTTTATAAGCCTATTATTAATTATATATAGAGTTAGTAATTATAGGTAATAAGATTCTAGTTAATAATATTATAGATAATAATAAGGGACTTAAGAAGAAAGTAATAGAATTAATATAAGAGCTAGAGCTTATTACCTAATACTTTTCCTAATTATACTCTAGTATAACTATAAGGTTATCCTAGATACTAATTAGATAATTAGAATAGATTTAAAGAAGTTAGACTTAGTAATTTATATAATTCTTATTAAAATATATAGCCTTACTAGAGCTATTAAAGTCTATAATTCTCTAATATAAAATATTATATTAGGTCCGAAATAAGAATATAGGTATATTATTACTATTATAAAATCGAGTAAAACTTATAATTTGTTTGGAATTTCTTTAGTATAGTACTTTTATTACTATTTCTTTTAAAGTTCAAATATATTTAATAAATTATATACTAAGCTTATAAGATAACTTAATTTTGGTTCTTAATCTAAGAAATAATTCGAGTTCGGTATTAATAAATAATAATAAGATCTTATTTTATAGATATATTATTTATAACTTTAGATAATTAGCTTTATATTTTTAGAGAAAGTTAAGGATATTTATAAGTTTAAAGCTAATAACCGACTTATTAGGTTAGTTTATTAGATATTCCGGGATATTAGAACTATTAAGAATATTTAGTAATATATCTAGACTAGATAAGAATTAGAAATCTCATATAAAGAAATAGGCTATTAGATTTAGGTAGTTTTAGATCTCTAAAGAAATATTCTTTTTCTATATTATCTCATTTTCTATTACAAATTAGTTATTAAACCTTAAAAATAATTAGTAATTATTTATACTAAGAATATAATTTATAACTTGAACTTATATAGCTATTATATATTAAGTATTATCTTAATCTAGACTTATATTATAATTAGTAAAGATTAATATATAGCTCTCTAGTAATAGTATTTATTCTATTATAAATTAGTACTATATTATTTAGCCTAGATATATTTTATATATCTATAAACCTTTAGTATTCTTAGCCTTAACTTCTTTTCGAGAATAATATCTTTCTAGTAATAATAGTTAATCTATTATAAATTAGCTAATTTAAATAAATATAAGAAGGGAAATTAAGTACTTTCTTTATAGATATACTTTCTAGGACCTCTTACTAAGTATTCTATTACTCGAGGATCTAATATAAATTAGCCTTTATAGATTAATTAAAAAATCGTTTCTATAAATTATCTAAAAATAATACCTAGAAGCCATTTACTAGAAACTCTAAAATAGAATAATAAAATATAGCCTTATTATTCTTAATATAATATATAAGGCTAGCCCTATTAGATTTAGATAATTAAACTATATATTATTTCCTAAAGCTTATAATATATAATATAACAAGTTTATATCTTACCTAATATAAGATATTATAGAGAAATATTTAGTCTATTTTTAATTTATAAATAATTTATATTATTATTAATATATCTATTATAGTATTAATATACTTAGTATTATAGTTAAATAGCTATTCTAAAATCTTAATTATTCTAGCGTTTTTAGAAAGCCTTTTATAATATTCTTTAAGTCTATCTAGTTTTAGATAAAGCTTTTTTGACTTCTTTCTAATATTTTCTGTCTCTATAGAATTCTTAGTAATATGGTTTTATAGAAGGGTATTAAGACTAGTATCTAGTATATTAAGAAAAATATTAGAAAGTAATTAATATAAATTAAGAAAGAATAATAGAAAATTTTATTATTACTAATAATTAGAAAGGTATTTTTTGTAAATATTAGAAATAATAGGAAATTTGGAATAGAATAATAAGAATTTATAGAACTTAATAGAAATTAATAAAACCTAAAATTATACTAATTAAAATCGTATTTATTAAGGTAAGAATATACTAATTAAATTTTCTGGAATACTATAATACTACCTAATATTATTAATTTATTAAACTCTCTAATTATATATAATAATCCGGTATTTTCTAAACTACTAAATTAGTATTTTATTACTATATTATTTAATAAGCTTATATAGTCTAAATATAATTATTTAAGAATTAATATATTATATCTCTAGTTATAGCCTACTAGTTACTTTAGGAACCTTAGGATATTATATATAAGCTAGCTTCTATAATATTATCTTTACTTAATATAGCTCTTAATAGTGTGTTAAATAATTAGATTAGATTAGATTAATGGGCATTAATCTAATCTAATCAAGGAAATTTACCATTAATTATATTTGTGAGGTGTTTGTTGGTAGGCAATAAGACAATAGAATGAATCAGTGTGTTGTGAAACCACAGTGTTAAATTCAGTACAGAACTAATCTCTGTCCCTCCTGTGAGGTCCAGGGAAGCCCCCTCTAAATAGGAGGCCCCGATGGCATACATACAATTAGTGATTTATAAGCCTAATGCATATGATGTAAACAGTGGTTGGTTGGGATATCGAAGGGCTGCCGAACTCCCTGATCGACACCCGCGATATCCGAGGTTCGTCACATGCCCTTAAGTCACGTGCGACCCTGCACACATCACAATATTCTAATTATAATCTAATCAGATTAATCGATTATTAATTAATTAATTAGATTAATGAAGCACGTGACTAGACACGTAATAGCGCTAGCCGTATCGGGAGCGCGCTTTACCGCATTAGGGCTACGGCAGCCTAGCGGCGGCCTGGGCCGCAGCTTACCAAGCTGTAAGGCACACAATAGCAGGGTGATATACAAGTAGTCAAGGTAAGTAAGCTTTAGAGTGACGCTTGCAGGTGTAACTGATTTCCAAGAGTTGATTCCAACAAAAGACTAATCGATGCCCCTTTCCAAAGCTAGAAGCGTCTCCCTACATATTCCCTAGTGCTTAGCCAAGCGTGCGAAGCCCTTTACTTAATTAGGAAATGCGATCTCATGCAAGCTTTACCCAAAATAGGAAACTAGATCCACGATATCTGACACCCGTCCATGCGCCATCACGTGCGCCCCTTACAGATAATCAGTTTATTATTATAGAAAAGGAGTAATTAGTTAGTTCTTAGCTTAATTTAGATTTTTTTATTATAATATTATTAGTTAGTTATAAGGTTATTTAATAATTAATAAGTAAAAGTAAAGAGAAAAGTAAAAAAAGTCAAGAAACTCCGGTGTCACGTAATTAATCAAGCATTAATCAGATTAATCAAGATTAATTAATCTAATCTAATTAAAAAAAGTCTGAATCACGTTAATCATAATCTAATCACATTAATCAATTAATTAATCGATTAATTTGATTAACGTGATTAATCCTTTAACACACTGGCTCTTAAGATTTAAAAAATATTATATATATAGTATTATTACTTTTTCTTCTAGTAATATTCCGGTAGCTAGAATCCGAATATCTTTTTTAATATCTCGTATTTTCTCCCTAAATATTATTTATACGAATTAATAAAGCTATCTTAATTCTTTAAGGTACTAATATAATATACTATAACTATAGGCTATAAGTATATCCGAGAATAATTAACTTCCTTTATTAGAAGTCTAATATTAGTAAGACTAATATATAAAAATATAATTTCTCTAAAGTTTTTATTATTATTATTACTTTCTATATTCTTAGTATTTAGTTCTTCTATTATTCTAAATCTTCTTATCTAGTATATATCTTATCTATTATATATATTAAGTAATTTATTATTTATCTAAAAATATTCTATTACTATCTTATAGAATAAGATAATAGTAGGATATATTAAGAATATTTCTTTACTAATTTAATTATTCTCGAATACTTAAGCCTTAATTCTAGACTTCTTATTTCTAGGCTTTACCTATATATCTACTATTATTTAATAGTATCTTAGTATTAATTTAAGTATTTATACTTCTTGGCTCTATTTCTTTGGGTTATTTATATTCGTTTATAGATATATTTATATATACTTATAGAAGCTACTAGAGATTTATTATAGTAAGAATCTCTTCCTATTTAAATAATAAGAGAATAATTTTCTAATAATTAGTAGCTTTAATTATTTATTTATAATATTATAATAATATATATAATATATTTATATTATAGATATTTACTTAAAGTTTTATTCAGAATACATTTTTTTTCCTTATTATTACTAACCTAATTATATTATTAAACTATTCGAGAAATTATTATTTAAATAATAGAGATATAAATAAAAAGACTCTATATTATATACCCTAAAATAGATGCTTTTTTATATAATATAAGAGCTATTGGCTTATATTCTAATATTAATATTAAACTAGAGAATTTAGAAGTTAAAAAGAAGTCTCTATTTTTTACTTTAGTAATTCTCTATAAATTCTTAAGAAGTTACTTAATAAGTACTATATTAAGTATACTAAGCTAATTTAGGGTAAAACCTATATTTATAAGCCATACCCTAAAGGTACCTGGATAAGGTCTATAATATCTAAATTAAGATATATCTCGACTATTATTCTTAATAAGAATAGGAAAAGAGAGCTACTAAATAATATTAAGGACTTTTTTAATCCGGTATCCTAATAATAGTATTCCGATTATAATACTCTCTATTAATAAAGTTACTTATTATACGGATTTCCTGGAACTAGAAAATCGAACTTAAGCTTAGCTATTACTAGTAATTTTAATTTGAATATCTATATCCTTAATCTTTCTATTATTAGTAAAGCTATCCTAAAGCACTTATTTAATAGTTTTCCAAGTTACTATATTATTCTTTTGAAAAATATTAATATTATTAGCTCGAATCGAGATACTAAAACCGAGGGCTTTTATTAAATTATAACTAGCTTTCTCTCCCGAATAAGTAAACCTATTAGTAAAAAGGTATTTTTATTCTCTATCTTAAATATTATTAATAGTATTAGGTTATAAAAAGGCCAAATCCTAATTATAACTACTAACTATATTATATGCCTTAATAAAATACTTATATAACCTGGCTATATAAATAAAAAGATTAAGCTTAGGCTTACTAATAATATAATAATAGCTAATCTCTTTTGTCTCACCTTTAAGCTAGTATAAAACATTACTCTTCCTAAGAATACTTAATTAGGAAATAATATAAAGGTCTATAAAGCCGCTATTATTTAGAGAAAAAAGGCCGAGAGAATTAAATAATTAGTAAAAAAGTTTACTAGTAATATACTAGAGCTAAAATTTAGCCTAGCGAAAATTTTCTCGTTTCTTATAAAATATAGGAAATTACTAAAGGAAGTTATTAGTAATATAGAGAAACTTATTTCGAAGCCTATTAAAGTAAAGTTAAAGCTATTAAGAATATCTAAAAATACTAAGCCTAAAAATATTTAGTTAGTATATATTTAATAAAGTATAAATAAAACTTTACTAATAATCTATTTAGATAAAATAAGGAATCTTTAATAATAAAAGTCTTAATTAAGATAATTCAAACCTCCTTATCCTTTATATTACTAAGTAGCCCGAATCTATTACTTTCTAAGTACTTTAATATCTCGAGTAATACTTAAGAATTAGTTAAAGCTATTATAAATATAGAGATAGCCTTTAGTTATTTCCTAAACTATACCTATATATTCCCTGAGAATACTTTAAAGGCGACCCTAATTAAGCCCTATTTATAAACTACCGGTTTTATATTTTTAGTAAACTAGTTATTAATATAGGTTATAATTATTAAATATATTTAATAGTTCTTGGATATTCTTAACTTACTTAGTACTAAGTAAGAGCCTTCTTTCCCTTTTATAAAGCCGTTTAGTAAATCGGGAGAACTAAAAGCTTATATTTCTAGGCTAGAGTTTAAGACTATTAATAAAGTATATATATCTAAAATTATATAAATCCAAGTATACTAATATAATTCTATTATATATAGTTAAAATAAAAATATATATAAGTATATAATTAAGGAATTACTAAAACTAGTAAATAAGACTAATAAATTCAATTAATATATATTTGTTATTTATACTCGGATTAGTTAGTATATTTGCTCTAAATAGCTCTATATATTTATAAAGATACCCTAGATAAGAAAGTATTAATTTATATTATTTATATTAATATTAAATTAGAATAAATATAAGATATTTTAAGAATAATTCTAAAAAGTATTTACGAAATTAGTACTAATAAAAATAAGCCTTCTATAAGCTTTCTTTCTCTAATTATATAAAACTAATTACTAATCTGAGGTTAGATTAAATAAAATCTCTTATATTACTATTTTCCTGAACTCTAGTTATACTAAAGTAATACTAATTCTCTTAACCTAATATATATAGAATATTTTAACTTCTTTATCTAGTATATTAAGGCTATTTATATAAATACTAGAACTCGTTTATTACTACTTCTTATAAGTAGTAAGATCCTATATAACCTACTCTAGACTCTTTTTAAGCTAAATATATTTACTTATATTATATATCCCGGAATAAAAAAATAAAGATATATTAAATATAACTTTAGTAAAGAGAGAATTATATCTAATAAAATAGTATATTTCTATATTAAGGGCTACTATATTAACTTTAATAAGAAAATATTTAGTAAGGTTTCTATTAATATAGGTATTTTGAAATTTTATAGATTAAAATCTATTAATTCTCTTAATATTTTTCCCCTATAATACTATAATAATACAAACTAGGTTAGAGTAAAGCTAGTTAAGTATAATTAGAAGTTTGGCTCTTTAAAAAATATTAGGTATTTCTAGTATAGTAATATAGTATTCCAAATAGTATAAGAAAAGCTAATTATAATATTTATCTTAAATAGAATTATAATTAATATATTCTAGTTCCAAAAAATTAACCCGAACTATATAAAGCCAAGCCTAATTAGGATAGCTAATAGCTAGTAATATAATTCTAATTCTATTAATCTCTAGTTTAATAATAGTAGTCTGCTTTTACTATTACTTTTGAGAACTAACTAAATTAAGATTAATAATATAGATATTAATATATAAGATAAAAATAATTTAATTATTTATAGTCTAATAGTTCTAGAATATAGTCTGGATAATAAGTTATAGTATAAGAATCCCGTCTAGTAATAAAATAGTTATAAAGCTAATTAAATCTTATATAATAAAGTTTATAATTAATAATATTACTAAGATTAGCTAAAATAATTTATTTTAGAATTACTTTATAATAGAGCCCAGATAAAAGAAACTTATTCTAGCTCTTATAATATTCTATTTATAGTAAATACCCGATTATTTATTTAATAATATTATTATAGAAAAGAGTTATAGTCTAATTATATTTTTCTAGTATAATACCTAGCTTTTACTATATTTTTCAAGTCTATTAATATATATACTAATAGATTACTTAAAGTCGGTAAAATACTAATTATAGAAGTACTATTAGAGTACTTCTAGAAACCGCTTTATATTATAGGTATTTCTCTCAGAGATATTACTTTCTATACTAATATTTTATAGATATTTACTAGAGATCTAAATAATAATATAGTAAAGCTTAAAAAATAGCTTTTACTTATCTTTAAGCTTACTAATTACTAAAATACTTTACTTTTTCTTAATAAGGCTAATATATTTTTATATAAATATAATATGAATTATATCTATAATTCTCTTATTTTAGTATTCCTATATAAATTGAAATATTATTAAGGAATTATACTTCTTATTACTAATTAAGTTAGGGATTTTAATAATATAATCCGAAATAGAATCTATCTTATACTTTAGTATAGCTCTTTAGGTATTAATATAAAAAGAGGAATCTGGAAAACTTTTCTTTAAAATATAATTATAACTAAAAGAAAAGCAGACTATAGTAATAAGAATCTTAATAATCTTATAAGGTATAATCTTAATAGTTACTAGATAAGTACTTGTTTTATAGAAGTTATAAGTTTATATACTAATAGGTTTCTTTTTTAGATTAGAAATATTATTCGAATAATATATATCTTAGTATTTTAGAAAAGAACTATAATATTTTATTCTTACTTGGAAATTATTATTAATTCGGGTAAGGAATTTGAAACTAATACTAGTAAAGGCTCTTCTAATAATATATAATCTTATTTATAATTATCTTATATTTGGGCTATATATTAATAAGTTTAAAATAAACTTAGGAAAGTTTACTAGATTATAAATATAGGTTATCTTTTATTTTACTAGGTTTTAATAGCTTTTGAGAAATTATATATTAAGAAATTATATAATAAATATAATAATATATTTTATTTCTATATTTATATTATAGTTTCCTTATATAATTAGAATAAAAGAACTAGCTTGTTTTATAAATATTATATTTATCTAATTAAGTTCTATACTATATTATTTAGGGAAAGAATTCCTAGTAAAGTACAGGCTACTTATAATAGCGGGCTATATTCTCCCAAGTATTATAAATATAAGCCCTTTCTCTAGGTATTACTAGCTATCTTAGCCATTTCTTTACTATTTATTTAATTCTAGTTCGACTTTTAAACCTTTCTACTATATTATTCTAACTCTATAATTATACTTATATAACTAATACTAAGCCAACTTTATTAAATATAGCTTTAAATACAACTCTTAAATAGAACCAGAATAAACCTATATTTGGAAGACTAGAAATAAGGCAGCCTAAGAGAGGCTATAGTAGGTTATCTAAAGAAATTATCTATAAGCTCTACCTATTATAAATAGGAAATACTAAACTAATTAGTATTAACTTATTAAGTATAATCTCGGATAAGAAACCCGGTTTATAGAAATAAAAGATATATAGGCTTATATAATCTAAGAATCTTAATAGTAAAGACCTATAGATATTAATTAGAGAAAGTCTCAATATTCTTTTTTAGGCCCAGGAGAATTACTAATATATAATAATAACTATTATTAGAAAAATAAAAGCCCAAAATAGTAAATTAATTACTAAGTTATTAGAGCTTCTAGATTTCTAAATATACTAATTAGTAGAAAAGAATTATAAAGATACCGAGAACTAAGTATATATACTAGTTACTAATTTAATTAAAGGAATATAGGTATAATAATACTATATAATTGAAATAAAATAATATATTTAGTAATATAAATAGAAGGAAATATAAATAAGAGAATGATTTCAAGTCTTAATAAAAGAGCTTTCTCCTAAACTAGAACAGAATTATATAATCTTTATATATATAAAAATTCGGCTTTTTACTATTAAGAGCCTTAATTATATAATCTAAACCTTTAGCCAAATCATATATTATATATTAATTATTATCCTCTATTATTATTACTAACTCTCTATTAACTAAAAGTTTAGTTATTATTCTATATTCTAAGCAAGTAAAATAATATAATAGTATCTGGCCAAGCTTATTTACTAATTCTATTTTAGTTCTATAATTAATTAGTAAGTTAATTACCTTTTAATATATATTATATATTATTACTATTATTTATATATATATACTTATATTTATTATATAGAATAATATTTATAAAACTAAGTATTCTATAATAGAAATATATTTCCTATATAATTAGCTAGCCCTAGTATACTTGCCTATTTTATTACTAATACTCTTATTTTATTTTTAACTTATATTTACTATAATAGAAATTCGCCCGTACTATAACCTTATATACAATAATTTAGTAATTATAAAAATTATATTACTGGCTTTATAAGTAATAAACTATAATAGAGATATAAAGCTTATATATAATTTCAAGTTCTTATTAGAATAAGGCAATTTATATATTAGATAAAAGAAGCTTAGAATAGAATTACTTTAAAAGTACTATTTCCTTA